TGAGGACAGTGATGCAAAACATAAAAATAAGCTTTTGCCAGTGGCTAGAGACGTAATGATTTGACTTGCAACTGGGAATCAAGACTTTGACAGTGTCTTTCCGGTCTGCACCATGACAGGAGAGAAGATATCAAGAGAGTGGAGTCTCGGGGGAATGTTCTTGCTCTTTGCACTAGGAGGTTATTGGAAAGTCTGTGAAGATCTTATGCTTTGGGTCAGGAGTTTCTAATGGAATTAGAATTCCAGAAGGAGCAGCATGTGGAGGAGTAGGGGGAGAATTCATGATGGGATAATAGTTACTGTGAGATGCTGCACCACGCACAGCTGAGCCTAATCAGATGTGTGGCAATAACTGAGGGCTTGTGCTGGTCTGGAGATAGCTGGCTCCAAGCTGTCCCCGTGGATAACTGTAGTCCTGTGGAGGGGGCTGCAGCCAGGGATAGAACTTGGTTTCTGAATTACGTTTTTTCACCTTTTCTTTCTTCCTTTATTCTGATTTTCGTTTTTATCGTTCCTCTTTTACCTTACTCTTTCCTTTTTTTCCTGCTCTTCTTTCTCTATTATTTCTTATTCACTTTATTTCCACTCAAATGCCTATATTAATGAACATTTCTGAGATTTTTTTTACATCACTAAAAACTTCCATTTATGCTATGGTCTGTGTTGAACATGTTTCCTCCAGTGAGGAAAAAGTGCCTTAAATTTCATGCTACTTTGCTTAATGATTAAATTAACTCAGGCCTTGTCTCTGTGCAGAGGCTAATAAAACAAGATGGGGTGCATTCTAGCTTGCACTTGACTTTTCTACTGAGAGCTGGATAGTATCTTCAATTGTGATTACATATGCATGACATTAATGTCCAGGATATGGTGACTTGCACTCAGTTCTAACATGTCCTATGATTTTATTCAACATTTCCTTTTATCACAAATACTTTCTGATGAATGTATTCTCAATTAAAAAATCTTTCTGATTCCTCCTCTCTATTCTTTGTGAATATGCGCATTTCACAAACAGTCTGTGATATTTGTGTGGCTTCACTACTCAGTGAGATAATAAAACACATAAAACTAAAACATTTTATGTGTTTGAATGATTAATACTGTCCTGGTTGGTGTAATCCAGTTATTGTTGCAATTCTGTGTGAAATTTTCAGAAAGAAATATCAGCTTCCTTTCTGATTGAACTGACGGACAATTTTTGCTTTTTGATACTTCATTGCTTTATTCAGTCTACCCACATGCTAAGGCTCTGTTTATAAAACAGGAATCGACTACACACATTTCAACTAATTTATTTAGAGCATAAAGTAGCCTCTTTGGAAAAAAGAGATATTTTTGTTAGATAGCAGTTTCTTTAACCTCCTCCAAAGCAGAGAGACCCCTTTAGGGAAAAAGAAATCATAAAAATAGAGTTTTTATCTCTCTGTACTAAGTTATAAAAATGGAAAAGAAGTTCATGTGGCTTGTGTTGCATAACAAATAAGGCTTACATAACGCAAATGTTCCCTGTCCTGACCGGCTTATGACTATCACACATCATCACAAGTAACTCTAAATATCCACATTACCACGGCATCACCCCATGTGCTTGAATAACACAAATTAGCATCTCTGTCCATGTCCTGCAGCTATTTCTAAGAGCTCCACAGATAGCTGTCACATGAGTGCTCAGAAATAAGTCTCCCTTGTTATTCTGCTTCAGCCCGGAGACATGTGGCCCCAGTGCTGGACCTCCTGGTACTGGCGGCAGTAGTTATCACTGTTGTGTGGGCCATGGCTGTCCTCACTAATGCCAATTCCTGTGGCCCCTAATGTAGTCTTAAGATAAGGACCCATATCTTCATTTCTAACTACTGTTTAGAAATTCAGGAGAGATGAATTTGCAACCCCACATAGAAACAGTTCAAACCCTAAACTTTGAACTCAATTCTATTGAATGTTTAGAATAACAGAAACTTGAAAATTTGCAATGTATTATTTTATGTGTGTTTGTTAAGAAAGCACCAGTGTATTCCTTGTCCCAGAAAAGGTAATAGTATCTAGTTTTATTGCTTGTAGTTTCACTAACTCCAGATGAAACATACTGTGATTCTGAATTACAAATTCTCTCTCAATAGACCACAAAAGGGCCATTCAAAGTTCATCTGATGTCATGTTGCATCAGGGTCAGACGTGTTTATTGGCACAGTTTTTCTAGCAGTGCAAAGAAAGATTCAACTGTGGTTTTTGGTACTGTAATGGTTGATACATTGAGTGAACTTGAGAAGTTTAGAAGTTTAATGAAGTGACTCAGAAGGGGGCCAGAGTCCTCACTTTGTAAACATCTTGAACCTGTGCAAGAGGAAGACACTGATGTGGTGTGAGCGCTACACTCACCCTTGGGGTAAGAGAGAAGCAGAAACATGTTCTTCTCCTTTCCTCTTTTTGCTTTTGCTGTCTTTTGTGGCCTTGAACTATGGCCTCAGTACCATGCCATCCTGCCTTGGAGCCAGCCATGACGGACTGAAATCTTCAAAAACTGTGAGCTAAATAAATGTTTACTTTCTTAAATTTGGGTGGCTGGTATCTTGCTCAGCAATGAGGGAAAAGTAAATAAGACAGGTACCTTTCCCATCACAAAGAAGAGTTCTGTCTTCTTTGAGCAACTCCTTAAACAAATTTGATTTTGAAAGAACATGTACTAATAATATGCAGGAGAAGTCAAACCATAACTAGTAAAGAAGCATTTCTTTAAGGGAAGTAATTAACAGATAATCAGGTCTGCTACCCATTACAGAGTATTACCCATGGTTGGATTTAAATGGTCTCAAATACTTCCACTTAATAAAAGAGCCTTAGTTTACAAAGGCTCTTTGGAACAGACACACGCCTGTTTTGCAGAAATATGATACATACAAAATACAATAATCCAATAGAGTTTAATTAACAAAAGGATCATCTACCAGGCTATGACTGTGGGACAACCACAAGAGACACTGCAGTGCTCTTAGATAGTGACAAATCTATTGCTTAGAGTCAAGAGAATAAGGAGAGGACATAGGTCCTGGAGATAAAAGGACAGAAAGTCATGCTAAGTTAGATGCTTTAAGTGAAGCAGTGAACTTCAATCAAGGAACACATCCTCCTGGAGAACATGAAGAACAGAAACTAGGGTAAGGGTTCTCACTGTATTACTTCTCTCTGGCTTCTTTTGGTAATCATTTTGGCAGGTTTCAGTTGGAAACCCAGAAGCTCCTTGATATAATCAATTATGTTAGTGCTTCAAAGGTGAACCACACAGAGAAAGACAATAAAGAGGGTCAAGAAGGCAAAGGGAGAGACCTAACATTAAAAATCATGACCTTTTATACATTCCTAGAGCGGTAGTTCAATAACTAATTATGACAGCTTGCCTTTTCTCTTTGCCTGAGTTCTAAATAAATGGAGAAATAAACTTATTTTTAGTAAAAAAAAAAGAAAAAGAAAATCAAGCTATTTCTTTTATTTATTGGGACAGATTACAATAAGACATGGGATTTCATTTTCTAATTAGATTTGCATATACCAAGTGTTAAATCTGAAAGACTCACTAATTTATTCATAAAATCTAAATTTGGATGGTCCCATTGGCTGCATACATGTTACAGCAGGATCCACATTTTCTTTGGGCAAATTGGTCCCAAGAGAGGCACGGCAATGAGCAAGAACACCTCGTTAGTCTTCCCAAATATGCATATCAAATGTAGCACATGCTGTGATTAGACACCTATATTAATGCAAATTTATATATAGCAGGTACCATGATTGGTTTTTCCCTGATTCTAGACTCTCAGCTATCAAACGGGAATAGAAAAAATTGTTTCATTTCAAAAAAAGGCAAAGCCAGTTTAATAGAAGGTGAAGAGCAGCTGTGCAGTGTAAGCCCCATGTGAGAAAATATGGGGTAAATGATACACTTCTGTCACCAGTATTCAGTCCTCTGATCCAAGCTACCTTCTCAATGCTGAAATTGACACCAACAAGCCAGAAGTATTTTGAAATTGCAGCCTTTGCTTTAAATGTTTGTGCCAAAGTTAAGACTCGAGAGATGCCCATCAATATTTTACTTGGAACAGACAACAGACAATAGGTAATGTCAGGATTTGGATTGATTTGAATTCTGAAGTCAGAGCTCCAGAACTGTAACTAGTCCAAGCTGGCTATGCAGTCACCTCTCAATTCCTGACTTCATATTGAACATGCCTGCATTCTTAAAGGTTCTGGATATGGTGTATAAAGACAAAAATGAAGAATAGAGAGAAATGTAAGGAATATCCCTCCTCATTAAATTAAGAGCAGAATAAGATACACTTATCTACATAGTAATACAATAATGTTTTATGTGCATATGTGCACATATGGATATATACACATGCATACACATTCCTTCATTCTTGTGTTGAAGAAACATTTTTTCCTTATCTTCTTGGTCTTTGGCATCAGAGGTGCAGGAAAATGTGATAGTGATATCAGCCTTTGAGAAACTCTAAGGATAAAACAGACAATAATAATACAAGAAGGTCAATATATTTAATTAACAAAGTAGTGTGGGTACATACAAGGGCGGTAATTACGTGCCTGGAAATGTTGCCAAATAGTTCACAAAAGATCCACAAAGTTTTGTTGATTTGGGTCTTGAAGCATAAACAAGAATTTTTCTTTTGGAGAAAGAGCTGACTAAATAACCTTTATAAAAACACACTACAGTTGAGAAAAGATAAGAAAATTAAACATGTAGGAGTGTCAATATATTACTTGGGAGTAAGTTGGGACAGATTATTTTAGAAAGGGAAATTAGGGATAGATTTGAATGTCCTGTGCACATAAAGAATTCCAGTTTTGTTGTATTGGTAGTACAAATCATCAAAGATTTTTCATAGAAAATAATGTGCAAGGTTTATTTTTAGATCTCTATTCCATCCATTTGTCAGCTGACTTTTGGATAGGCTCATATAAGGAAATTAGAGAAGTCTATTGTAGCGGCACAGAGGTGCAATTGGTGAATCCTTAACAGTAGGAACATGGACTGGCTGCATGGATGTAACGATTGCTTTCAATATTGGTAAGGCTTCCAAATAATCCCTTCACACTAATTTTATTTACTTTTTATTTTTATATTGGTTAAAGTTTTGTTGATGTTTAAACTGCCTCTAGAAAAAATAAATGCTAAGAGAACAGTATCAGTTTATAAGGAAGTAAAATAGTAATGCCTACTTTGGCTATTTAGTAAAACAGAAAAAAAATTATTTTGATAATTAAAGTAATAGTCATTTTTGTCCACATGTATCACAATTGATTAACTGTATACATTACTTCAATATGCACATGACAAATCTCCACTTTTGGGGTTTTTCTTTTCTTTCTTTCTTTTTTTCTTTCTTTCTTTCTTTTGGTGCGAGGGATCAAACTCATGACCTTGTGCTTGCCAGGCAGGTGCTTATGCCACTGAGCTAAACCCCCAGCCCTGGGGCTTTTATTTTTGTGCTTTGTACAGTGTACATTCTGTACCTAATTTGAACATTATCAAAGACAATTTTCAGTGGCAGCATTATACATCAAGACATAATTCATGTCAAGCTGAATATCAGTGACAAAGCAGAATTATTTATCAACATTTACAACACAGTGAAATATGAAATTGAATGGTATAATTTTTCTAAAGAAGTTAGCTGTCCAAATTTTGATGATAAAGGATTTAGTATAAAATATTTCAAAATAAACAAAAGTAAATCAAATATTATGCAGTTAAGTATTTAAACACTATACTTTAATGCTAACCTTGCATAATGAATATTACTGAGATTTGTATGGTCAAACAGAGGAGGTTCAATATTTCAGTGACAGCAATGGATCCTAAGTAACTACCTTAAAACCTCGAACGACAAAGCATGTCAGTAGTTCAGTGTTTCTTTGTTGCACAGATAAGAAATTAGGGTGAACCATGTCATTCAAGGTCTGTTTTAAGTATAGCAAAATAACCAGAAAATGTCAAAAAAAAGAGCACAAAACAACAGATTTTTTCAAGTAAAATTTAAATATATTTTTCATGACCAACAATTAAACAGTTCAATACTTGGTATGAATTAATCACTATGGCCATTTCCATTAATTTATCTGAAAAATAATTTTCTTTGATTTGATTATGGATTTTATGAAACTAGATGGAAGTATCCTTTTTCTGCTTTCTTCATTTTTTCCCACACTGGTGGAATTGAAGAGATTTTAGTAAAATTTGGAAAATGTTTGTCAATTACCACTTTATGTTGTACACTGTACTATGTAATATTATCTTATGAAGAAAGTAAAATGAAAAGAAATTATAAACTACATTCTGTAGGCCACACAACTTGATAATACAATAAAAATATATAGCATTCAGAGAAAGAAATAATAGCTATTTTTGTAATAGTGAGCATATCTCATATAGACACATATGTGAAAGCCAGTCTGAGCAAAATAAATAAAATGTGGACAAATACAGTAAAAAGTAAACATAGAACCACAAGTGAATTAGCATCATGGGGCTTGGAACATAGAGGTCATGAAACTATAGGAATAGTCACACTCTAGGTCCCAAAGATTATTGACTGCTAAGCTTGGAGTGTAATCTAAAGGTAGCAGGAAAGCAAAGAGTGTTTTCAATATGAGAGTAGTTAACAGAGACTTTAATAATGATAGTTATTTCATGGGACCAGTCAGAAGGTTATTGAAGGATTATATACATGTTAAGCAAAACTTGTTGGTTGGATATAGAGATATGAGACAAGGAAACTCTGAAGATAACAAGCAGAATTCTATTCTACTATCATTTTGTGCATGATAAAAATAATCAGGTTCTTAAGCATATAATAAAGAGATTTTGTTTAGACAATGTGTTATTTGGATAAAAAGTTTGGGGAGCTTTCTAGTGGGGAGTTTACTAAATGAATTCAAGGAAGATTTTCAACGCAAATTCTGCAGATATCAGAATCTAGATGAATATTACAACTTCAGCATTAGAGCAAATCTACTTGGAGATGATATTTGGAATTTAAAAAATAAGTATAATCACCGAGAATTCCTCCATTGAAGGAGTGAGCAGAGAAAGAGCGCAGAGACTAAAAAATTAAGGGAAATAATAAACAAGTAGAAACATTAACCAAGAAAATGAAGATATAATGACAGGGGAATATCTTTTAAGTTAGGATATTTTAAGTTAAAAATTGTCAAAATGCCATAAAGTGGTCAGTTGCAAAGAAAATTAAAGTGTACAAAGATATTTGATGAAAATATTTTGCTTCAACAGAGGTGTAAAAGTAGAAATAAAATGACCATGGGTAGAAGACTGAATACACAGTGAAAATGTTAGGAGAGACACGAGGTTGCATGTATCGGGATACAGGCCATAAGATGTCAGAGGGTAAAGGAAAACAGCTCTTTGTGGTGGTTCTTGTGTGATTGGGGTTTTATTCATGAAGTCCTTGCCTACACCAGTGTCCTTAAGGGCTCCACCTAGTCAATCTTCCCAGCATATGTAATGTTTCTGTTTTCATATTTAGATCTTTGATCCATTTCTGTTTTAGTTTAGTGAATGGGGAAAGATATCGGTATAAGTTTTCATCTTTGGCAGTTAGAAAGCCAGTTTTTATCGCACCACCCATTAAAAAGCATATATTTTGCCCAGTGAAAGTATTTGACTCCTTTGTCAAAGATAAGGTGGCTGCACATGGCTAGAGTTGTTTCTCTTTCTTCAGTCAAAATGGATGTCAGTGAAGATTTTCAATAATTTCGTGAGTGATTCTGAAACTTTGGCACAAGGAAGATCATCTACAAATGCTGGTTTCCTTTTCTTTATTTCCTTTTCCTTCACTAACAAAAAAATATTAGATAGTGATCATGTATTTTAAGAAGGTATTAATGTCTTTATGTTTCATATCCTAACATATACTTTTTTGGGGATTCTAATTTAAATCATGATATTTTAATGATCAGATAAAACATTTACTTTCATATGGGCTTTGATCTTTCGTCTTAGTAACTAGGATAAAAATGTTTCCACTGTAGAAGTTTTATTATGTATAAGGGAAAAAGAGAGAAAAAGAAGACAGATGCCCAGTGCTGTTTTTGGCTACAGGTCCCAGCTCGCAACTTTATATCTAGATTCTCAATGATAATAATATTGGCTATCATTTGCATATGATTTAAATGTGTTTTCCTAAAGGTTCATGGATTTGAGTTCTAGTTCAATGAGGCCAGTACTGGGTAGCAGTAGATAGAATCTTTAGGAAGTATGGACCTGTGCCAGGGATTTAGCTCAGTGGCATAAGCACCTGCCTGGCAAGCATGACATCAAGAGTTCGATCCCTGGTATTAAAAAAAAAAAAAAAAAAAAAAAAAAAAAAAAAGTATCGGCCTAGTAAAAGATGTTTAGGTCAACTGAGGAACAGAGCCGTGGAAAACATTATGAAAACCTAGTGTTTCTCAATATAATTTCTTCCATTTTGTATACTCCTGCTATTTGCTAATTGGGCTTTGCCAGTTTTGGCACAATATTGTTTGATAAATTTTTAGTTTCTAAAACTGTGAGGTAAATGAGCCTCTTTTGTTTAAAATGTTAACCTCTTTCAAGTATTTTGTTATGGTAATAAAAGTAATAAATACAATTTTTTGAGTGTGGAAAAGTTCTAATTGCATGAAAATGCAGTATGTGTTCCTTAAAACTTGATATTTTGAAAGAATGAACATGAACGATTTCCAATTTTAATATTAATTTAAATTATCTGTTATGCCTTGAAGAGCTTACTAATTATCTTGTAAATATTTGAGTCCATTAAAATAGATAGAAAGATTTAGCATGAGTAGAAATAACTCATATGGAATATATGAATCCTCAGTAAAATGAATACTTTCCTGGCTTCACAGCTATGATACAGTCTTTACAGGTTTTATATATGTTTATGATTAGGGTAAGGCACATGTTGCAGACAACTTACTGAAAGGAAAATACAGCTAAGTCTTGAAGCTATGGAAACTACTCAAAATATGGTTTCAAAATACACTGATAAAAATGTAAATTAAACCAATGATGACATGGCATATGTATTTATTATACTTCAAAAGTGCACTAAATTCATAAACATTATTAGTGAAAAAGAAGTAAAACGCTTATTTCCTTACTTTCTTAATGTAGTTGAAATATAAAGTTGACCCAGTCCTTTGAGTTATTAAGACTTGGAAATATGTCAAAGGTCTTTAAAGCACTGATGATTTTTCATACAATCATCTGTGATAGTTATTGAAAATCTTCACTGATGTACATCCATTTTGACAGAAGAAAGAGAAACAACTCTAGACATACTCAACATGTTAGATAGTTTCTAAGAAAGTACTCCATGTGAAAGAATCAAAAGTAGAATGCTTGCTTAGCATGTATGAGGTCCTGAGTTTTATCTCTGCAATCACAAAACAAAACAAAAACAAAACAGCAATATGCACCAAAATATGATTGAATTATTTGTAATAATAAAATACTAGAAACAACATAAATGTCAAATACCAGGGAAAGGGTTAAGAAGTTAGTTTATATTTATGGTGTATGGGCATTGAAATATATTCAAAATAATTTTTCATGCTGTAGAATACTGTTTTTTTATTTTATTAAGAGAATAAAACCAGTCAAAATAAACTAAGTGATATAGGTCTTTAAAACCTTATGAAACCAACAATAGTTACCATAATGCCTTTTGTTGTCTTCAAAATAACTGCAGACACTTTTGAACATAATAAAAATTGAACAGAATAGAATAGAAATAATAAAGCCAAAACAGTGAATAAAATAAAGGACTCCAAAACAAGCCACTAGAAAATTCAAAATGGCTACTGTAATATGCCTTGTTATCTTTCAGATAGCTGCTCCGGCCATCAGATTTAACATAGTGAAACAAGAACAAAAGAGAATAAAACTCAACCCAAGACAACAATGCAAATGATATGGTTTCCTGGCTGGGACTCCTTCCTAGTGACATCTGGATCTCTCCCCCAACGCAGTCCCTAATGGCGCTGACTCACTAAGTGAGGATTGGGTGTGGCTGTCCCACTGGCACATGACGTTGCTTTCCAAGATGGGGATCACCTTCTGGTCTAGAATACTATTTTTAATAATCATGACAGGGATAAGATTTATTAACAGAATAGGCCTTCTTATCTTAGAACTGTTATTCCTTCTTGGGACAGGAGAGGCTTTGCAAGTTTGGTTCTTGAATATTTTTTCATGTTTAAGTTTCCTTAAGTTTCTTTAAGACTTTAAGTCTTTAAGTGTATGTATTCAAAGTATGACAACTTTGAAATATCTGAGTAGTGGGGAGGAAAGAAAAACCAGTTTAGCTAGGGCTGCTAATCGATACAAATGAACATGTCACATTTTGAAGGAGAATGCTGGGCTTTAAGTGGTGGCAATTTGCAAGAGACTTTTAATGTTTACGCAAGAGAAATTGTAACCAGCAACAGAATTGGGGACTAGAAGTCAGGTCTTCTGAGAAACTAGGTTGTTGCTGGTTGTCACAAATTTAGGCCTTGTATAGACACCTTGAGACTTACTGAAACCTTGCCTCAAAAAATAAACCAGCTAACCAAGCAAACACATACACAAAAACAAAAAACAACAAAAACTCCAAAACTAGGTTAAATTAATTCGTGTTATAAGATGTACACTGAAGGGGAAATACAGTACGTATAATTTTTCTTCAATCCTTGTAAGTTCATTTTGAAAGGAAATACACATTAGAGGAAACTAAGCAAGTTTATTAACATGTACGGCATGTATCTCATGGGAGAAAAGCAATTTAAGGCAAAGTGCTAGGAGTCTGCTTTAAATAGTATTTCAACAAGAAGAGCACAAAGGAAAAGTAGCCTAGGCTTCAGAGGTGAGAAATCTGTGGGAAGGTAAATTTTGGTGACAGTTTGGGCCCATATCCTTCTCATGCTGACTCGGAGCTGATAAGCAATCACCGTAGAGGAAAATTTACATCCTGTCTCTAAGTGGGAAAGGTTGATGAGGGCAGAAAGATGCTTTGTCTTTTTGAAGCCTTATTCTGTTTTTAGGTAAACAGAAAGCAGAGCGATTCCCTTCTTTATGTTTGTCTCAGCTCAACAATCCCTCATACTTGGGGTGTAAATATAATAATGTCCTTCATCCACTTGAATATTCTTCAACACATGACAGAAAGATTAAACTGCACTCTAATTATGATTTGCTATTAGCAGAATTCTGAGAAATTAACACTTCACATAGGCTTAAGAGGACTGTGTTCTTCAATTAAAGCATCATTTTGAAATTCACAAAACCCAACTGTAGGAAAAAGAATAAAAAGGAGAAGAAAAAAGAAGGAAGACAAAAAGGAATAAATGAAAGAGAAAAAAAAAAAAGAAAAAGGAAAGAATGCATATATGGAATAGTTATGTTTAAACGTTTATATTAAGTGCTGTTTGGAGAAGTCAACCATGTTTATGGATTCCATGGTCTCAGTATTGATTGTTTTAGTCTAGTGGAACATTTGATTTTTTTTCTTCATTTTACTATAACTTTTAAAATATTTTGAGAATGAGAATATTTATATTTTTAATTTGGCAATACTTTTATTAAAATACAACATAAGGCACTTTTTCTCTGCTTCTATATCAGATGCACGTTTTAAGACAGAACTTATAATGGTTTTGAACAAAGGAATTTAAGGGACTCAAGGTATCTCATCAGAGTCAATTTCACAGAACCATTTGTAAGAAACATTTGGGCTTTATATGAATGGAATAGCTTCTCAAATGCCTTTACTTGATTATATGACACAGCAGAAGTCTATCCAGTGTTTTGTCCAGTCTGATTTACAGTGATTTCATGCTATTGACACTTCTCACTGTGTAAGATATTGTGAAATTTCTGTGTTCAATTTTGACATGAATCAGTTACTGTTTCAATAGTTCTGCCATAAAATGCAATGATATCATCACTGGCTAAACACTTAGGAAGTCAGACTTCTTACTTTATTTCCAGAGACTAAGAAATGAGTGATTTTGTGCATCAAAGCAATAATGCACAGTAAATATTTCCCTTGAAAAATGTGGAGAAAAAAGAAAATCAGTATTTATTTAAAGCCTATTCATTGTTAGGCATTATCTAAGATACAGAATGCATGTTACACATAATATTCACAAAGTATGATACTGAGGCAGAAGTCCAAGAGGTTAGAAAATTAAATTTATTTCCACAATCAGTAAGGGCTTTTCATACCTGACAAAGAATTCCTGTGTTTTCATTGGTCACACTTCAGTAGTTTCTTCCTTAATTAAGTTACATAAATGAAATGCTATTCATAAAAACCAAATAAAAATGATTAAAAACCAAAGAATTTTTAAAAATGATCTCAGTTCCTGACTTTACCTTTTATATAAGAATTGAGTTACTTTTTAATGCTTGTTTTTACATATAGCTTTAATATATGCTGTGTACATATATAATACATATTAAAACTATGTATATTTAATATATATTAAATCTATGTGTATATGTATCCTATATATGTATATATATATATATATATATATATATATATATATATATATGTTGGCTATATACAAAAAGCCAGAATTCAAAATGTTAATCCATGATTTAATCCATTGTATCACTCTTGGTTTACTCACACTTTAATTTTTCTCCTGAAGGTCCATAAAAATGTAATTGTATTAGACTTTCTTCATAGATTTTCCAGATACGTTCAATTCTATCTGAATCAAAGGAGAACATAATATAGACACTCAGGCTGAAAATTTTACTTCAAGATTTCTGAAACTAGAAGGCAACTATCATACTCCATGTGAGTCTATTGGGGTAAGTAATATGAAAAAGAAATGCTGTGATTTATTCTCACTTATTCAGGTTAAAGAGCTTATTTATGTTTCAATTGTTGGTTTAAAATTTCATCAGAAAAGTCACTTATTAAACTGCTTTTAGTTTGCTTTGAAAGAATGAAATATTTTTAAAAGTAACCATATTCAAAAGATGTCCTGCTATCAATACTGTTTCAGTATAATTTCATTTAATATTTTATTCTAGTCTACAATGACAAATTTAAGAAGGATTCCTTGATTATTGAACTAAAGAATAATTATTTTACACTTATCCTACAAACCTCAGATAACATTTTCAACATGAATCCCACAAGAATTCTACTGAAACCATAATTAACGAGAAAGTATGACTTTGAGATATCCTGCTTCAAAGATGCCTTATTAGTAAATCTTTGCTGGAATTTCTTTTTCTTGTTTCTATGTGATCATGGCCTCCTGATAATCAGATCATTAAATTTTCACAAAATTGTCAGTCACAACTAAAGCAAGATTCATTTTACTGATATTGTTTTTAAAATGCACAGATGTGTTGATTTTGCAAAATATTGAAGAACGTATTTCTAGGGCGGGGTATATAACTCAGCAGCACAGTACCTGCTTGGCAAGTGCAAGGTCCTCAGTTCAATTCCTTGTTTAAAAAAAAAAAAACCTGTTCTTTAGACTTACGTTAAAAGCTGCTAAATTATATTATAAAATATATATAGATTTAGAGAATATGATGTTTCATAGATAAATAAATCCATAAATGCATAAATAAATAAATGATTCAACAAAACTTAAAGAACAATAATTAAAAGGGGAGATATTGAAGGGAAAATTTTAATTTGAAAATTCTAGTTCCAATAATCTAAATACAATCAAACATGGTGGCACACGCTTGTAATCTCAGCACTCTGGAAATCTGAGGAAGGAGGATTTCAGGTTTGAACTTAGCCTGGACTTTGTCTCAAAATGAAAACAAAACAAAAAAGAACTAAAAGGGATGTAGCTTAGAGCAAAGCCCCTGTGTTCAATCTTGAGTATGAAAACAGAAAACCAAAACACAAACAAACAAAAGAAAGCCTCAAAAGAAAAATCCATAGATCTATCTATGTATTTAACTGTTCATCGATGCTATCATTCTAATTTAAATGATTAATAATTTTTAAAAGTTTCCAAATAAATTATGAAAATCTCAAAATAATATATTATTTTGTATTGCCATTTCTTATTACTATTTGTTTGACACTACTTTAGCAAAAGAAAACATAGTCTCTAAGAAATGAGATTAATTTGTACATTGTTTATGTTTAAAAAATATGTGAACTACTGTTCTAAAACAATGTATATTGCATTAGAACTAACTTTAAAGGACCAGTTACTTAGGTAGAAAAAAACATGACATTAATATGAATGTGGTGGTGAATTAATGAAAGCTGAAATCTTTTGATCTAGTCCATAGCACATTTACTGTACTCTAATCATGATCAAAAAACAAAAACAGGAATAGAGAACTATAGCACTAGCTCAACATGGTGCCAAACACCTATAATCCCAGCACTAGTTAGGCTGAGACAGAAGGATCATAGTGTGTTCCAGACCAGTCTAAAGGTACACTGTACCTTTAGGCCAGCCCGGACTATATAGTGAATCCCTGTCTCAAAACAAAAACAAAAACAAAACAAAAGCTAAACTAATACTATGATTTTGTGAAAACTGTGACTTGATATGTTAAGGTGATACTACTTTAATTTGAAGTGCTTTTATTGCTATATTATTTCTGCATAATGGGGAGAGTTAGGTGTTGTGGTTTGTGTGCAGATGGCCCACCCAAGCCTCATGCAAACATGGATGTGACTGAATTCAGTTTTTGTGAATGTTTTATTATCTAGTACTGGGATTGGCAGTGTGAGTGCTTCACTTGCCCAGGGGTGGGGCCAATATTTAGTGTAAGGTTAGGAAGGACCCGTGTCTTTTCTTTTTTGTTTATAATTTGCTCTTGTTGTTTTGCAGGGGCCAGGAACATAACCCCGCCAGGCCAGCCTGCCTTGAAGCCAGCTGAGTATGGACTGAAGCCTCCAGAAAGAAATAAACATTCCCATCTCTAATTTTGGGCATTAGGTATTTTATTTCAACAATGAGAGAAAAGTAACTAAGACACTAGAAATAGTCAGAGACCAGCATTGTGAGGCATTATTGGTCTTCAATCTTCATCCTGTCTTGAATGTACCCCTGTTATCAGCATCTCTGGAGTGGTTTTCCACTAGGGCCTTTTTTTTTTTTTTCTTTTTTCAATTTTAGTGTTTCACTACACGATTTCTTTAGCTAATGGAATGGTGTAGAAGCAACTGTGTACCAATTCTAAGGCAAGATATCAAGAGAACTGTTATGTTTCTATTTATTCTATTCCCCTTTAGATATAACCATAAAAATGTACTTCTGCAAATTCACCAGTTCCAAAAGAAAGATGATATCTAAGTGGAATAGCCAGCAGAATGGATCCATGATGAGAAATTTCCTAGGAGGCAAGACATATGTCTGTGAGTGAGCCCTGCTGGTACCTTAGTCAGTGGAACTCTTAGGTAACTTACAGAGTTGTAAGCTAAATAAATTCTAATACATTAAATCTGATGATAAATGTTAGTGTTTTCCGTACAGAATTACTGTGTCCCTAATGGCTGTGTTTTTTTTTTCCTTCAAGAAGTTGGTAATAAATCAGGAACAGAGTAGAGTGATAAAGTATCTTGTAGTCCCTAGTGGTCTTCCTGTGCCAAGTGATCCCAATCAGTCACAAGAAATTAGAATGGTAGGCAAAGGATTGCTGCACAAAACTGACCAAAAGACTTTCAAAGACTTGATTTTCTTCAGATGCATTATGAAAATAATCATTATTGCCATAAATAATTCATGGTGTTGTAGGTAGTTGGGTTAAATAGAAATATGATAGGTAGACAGATAAGACTGGGCCCTCAAAGGCAGTGCAGAAGACCGGATATCTTGCAAACTTGTAGGAGACAGACACCTGACTCTATGGGCTAGGTCTCAAGACATAAAGCAAAACAAATGCAGCCATACCTTCAGGGTAAAATTAGAGACTGATATTCTAAATAGCTATCCATCACCCTGAGGAATCCAGGAGTCACTAACCCAGCTCTCTACAAGAAAAGTGCCTATTCCGTCCGTATTCATGCCTTCTTGCTACATTAGGCACTTCTCCATGGGATGACAATTTAATCAATTTTACCGGAGCAATTATATTAGTAATCTTATTGTTTGACTACAGTTGTGTCCTGCCTCATGCCTGCCTGCCTTTCAAGTTGCATTTCCTCCACCTTGTACCCATTTCACCTCATGGTTTTGATCTATAAAAGTCCCTAAAAAAGAAATTCAGGAACCCTGTGTCTGTCTGTCTGTCTGTCTGTCTGTCTGTCTCTCTCTCTCTCAGACAAAAGCTTTCTTTCTCTCAATAAATATGTTCTGCTCTTAATCTCCATTGCTCTTAAAATTCACTCTTGAATTTTAGAGAACATAAATTCGTCCTGGACATCTAGTAGGTTGAGAGTTTCTCTCCCCCGTGTCAGTGGTAAACTATTGAGCTTCCAAAGTCATAAGTGAAAACAGTTTGAAAATGAAAAGAAAAATCCACTAAAAATGAACAAAATTGTATTTGTTTAATTATAGGATAATTATGCTTTTGACTATAAAAAATTCTTATGTTGAAATATCTCTTAAGATTATGCTTTACTGACACAATGACCTTGTTGGTAATGGCTCCAACTCTTTGGAAGCAAACTGTCAAAGCACAAAAATGCTAAAAGACAATTTTCTATAAATAGGTATTGCTTTATTTAGTGCATTCTAATAGATATAAAATAGAGAAATTTTATTTATCTGTACTTGTGGTGTTGTTTGGAGCCATTCTTTCTCCTGGAGGAGCTTGTCATGATGGATCCCCTGATACGAACTTGGCTGTTATCATTGCAGGAGCTCTGGACGTTGTTGCTGAGAATGGTTTTGGTTCACTTTGGGGGAGCTTCAGTTCTTACTCTGAGCATTGATTCCTGGGTCTGGAGGGGAAGATGAGTGCTGTTTAGTCCAGGAGAAGTTTGTCACGCTGGCTTCCTGATATGTACTTGGTTGTTCTCATCATCGGAGGAGCTCAGGACATCATTATCACTGAGGATGGCTGTGGTACCTTTCAGGGGGAGCCTTGGTCTTTATTTTGAGTGTCATTTCTTGTCTCCGATATAGAGTCCTCCATTTGCTAGTGCAGATCTTTCACCCTGCTGACACCACTGCTAATCTTTGGGCCTTCCCAGTGCAGATCTGTGGGACAGACTTGCATGAGTCATGGTCATGGGCTGTAGGTTTTCAGCTGAACTCATGCAGGTTATTACCATGGGAATGCAGGCCCTTGGCTGGATTGTCTAGGTCTTTGGTATGTAGATGGATTTCTTGTATTTTCTTTGTATTTAACTCCTTAGGTGACCATCATAAAATAATATTATAAATGATGTATCCTCTCTGTAGTCATTTTCCTTGCAATCCCCTGACTACAACACCCCCCAAACCTCATTTAGTCATAATTGGAACTTTTGAAAGATGACTATCATGGCACATGATAATCATCAGTGCATTAGTCTAGTGGTATGTGTATACCTAAATATGATGTTAGGAATGGATCCTGGCAGGAGGTAGGTCACTGGGAAGGTAGCCTAGAAGGGTTTATCTCTCTTCCCAACTCCTCCATTTACCCTCTTAACCTTCCCTCAGCCACACGATGGATAGCTTTTCTCCCATTGTGCCCCTATGTTGTGCCATCCTATCTTGGAGCTATCTTACTATGGACTGAAACCTTAACAAACCTTGAGTCAAAATAAACCTCTTTTCCTGTAAGTTTTTGGTGTTGGTTGGATATTGTGTCATAGTGACTGTTAAAGGTGACTAAGGTGGTTATAGACTAGGCAGAGATCATAGGCTAGTATGCAGAATAGAGATTAAGGCTGGCTATATAATGTATGTGACCCAGGATAAAAGTATAGAAACTCTTGTTGGTGAATTATTTAAAATTTCATTCAACAGCAGCAAAACATGAAGCTAAACAAAAAACCTTATAAGCATGGACCCTGTGTGACTATATAATATATATGACCATAATACATACTGTCTTGGTCTGTGCAGAGTACTATAAGAAGGTGCCAGAAACTGTATGTTTTAAGCAATAGAAACTTATTTCTTATAGTTATGGAGGCCAGAAAGTCCAAGATTGTCCCAAAGGTGGGGTTCTATTGAGGGTATATGGCCAGTTTACAGATGGTCACCTTCTTTCTGTATTCTCACATAACAAGAAAGAAGAAACCATCTCTCTCTTGTGAGAACCACCCTTGTGACCTAGTTATCTTCCAATGACCATCACATTTGAGATTAAATTTCACTGCATGAATTCTGAATTTCGGTCTGTAGTGCCTTTGCACATATCAAACATTGTATGAAAAATCCGTTAGTATAATCTTTAAGATACCTTCTTTAACTCTATGAGACGTTATCAATGTTGAAGCTGAAAAAAAAAAAGGTCTGGAATGTATCAGATAAATGTTTGGAAGGCATGCTAAGGTTCAACACAGTGAGCCCAGGATTTAGCATGTAATTTACTCAGCAAGTGACTTACTAGCCACGAATTGGAGACCTTTAGATCAGAGCTTTTTCTTCTATGTCAGGTTAATTTTATAATTAAGGGAAAAAATTGCAGAATCTTAATCCTTCCAATGAAGAGAAACCAGAAAAGGTACATTGGCTAAACAAGGGTTGCAGAAATGCTTTGTGCATCCTAGGTAGGTTTATATGCTTTAAACATGCAAATGTCAAAATATTTCACAATAAGATGTAGACTTCCATTTTATTTTGAAACACTTAAGTATTTGGGGTATTTTTTCTCCCATGTGTGCAGTGGCTACAGTGTGACACTGGAGGCTCCCACTTCACTTGCCACCAATCACTAAAATCAGTGTTCCTCAGTGGATCACAGTCTCCAGGGTCCTCAACTTTTATACCCAGCCTTCCTTCTTATTTGTGTTATCTTGTTTGGCCTTTATATCAATTAAGATTTTGATTCCTCAAGATAAAATCTTCAGTAATTCCTTATCTGAGATTATATCTCTTTTTCAAAAATAGAAAGCTAAATGTTACACATTCACATAGGACTAGAAAATGAAATGTTGCTCCTAGTATAATGATTATGTATAATTAGATAAATTTAAAGGGAAGTAATTTTGTGATGTGTAGGAATTATGTTACTATGAAACTGGAAATGCAACTTCCCTTTATTATTTAAATTGAGATTTTGCATGGTGGAAATCAGATATGGATGTTGATATAGATTTAGAAATAAATTAACTCACTGAGATTCTTCTTTTGTGGGGTGCCTGAATAGCTGTAACTAGATAATAACTATAAATGGAATATTAGGCCTTAATAATTTCCAAATTCTTAAGTATGCCCTTGGCCTCTTCCTCTATACTCTTTCTTTGTTGAGCATAAAAATGTGGATGTACCTCATTGAATGTCTGAGTATATTCTTGTTTATTCCAAAGCACAAGTCCCCAAGGCCTGTCTCCAACACTGTCCTGCAAGCAACACATATTTAGCAAAGGCATAGCCAGACTCCCTGCTGTAATCAATCCACTGGAGAAATTTAATTTTTAATTAAGTGAAGCATAGTGTTTACTTTTGCTCTAGAGATGATTAATCAGAACTTTGTTATTTGTGTTGCAAAAAGGGGATAAATTAACTATATCTTTAATTATACAAGGGGGAATTTGTTTCACTCTCTTATATCTAGGCAAAGCAAGAGGGGTTGTCCTTAAACCAAATAAAGATTGCTTAAAAATTCTACAGCAAGTCATGTAGGACTTAGACCTTTTGATAATTACCTTGTTTACTGGTGATTTCTGGGCTATGTATTTATTAAATTTCTTATCTTACTATGACTGTTTATTTTAACTTTCATTAATTTTTTATTTGTAATTTCATTTTAGCTAAAACATAATAATTGTACATATTTATGGGTTAAGTTGTGATATTTCCACAAATACTTTCATAGTAGAAGGAT